CGGCGTCGTGGTGATGGTGGATGGGATCTGCTCACCCGTTCGATGTGTCGTTCGTCTCCGTTGAGACTCATGTCGTAGTCTGTTTAGTATCGGCATGCACAGGGTGGGGCAAGGTGGAGCAATTGCCCCACCTTTTATAAAGGTGCATGAAGGGACAAACTTCAATGAAATTTTTTGGTCAAAAAATTGCACCACATTCCTGGTGTATTTTTTTTTCTCAAGGTTGTTCATGGAGGGTTAAACAAAGGGTAAATTTAAGGTTGAAAAAATTCACCTTCGTGGTGTTAATGCGAAGAAAAAGCTTTTTATTGAATATTTCTGGTGTAAAAATATCATGGAGGGACTAATCAAAATGAATAACTCTGGTTCTAAAATTGAATCGCGCTAAAAAATTGGAGGTGCACATTTATCTGAAAATTTCTGATGGAAAGTTCGCAAAACTGTGGTGAATGTAATATCAAAATTTATTATTTTTTCTGGTGCATAATTTGCATCGTTCTGATGAATGCAAGCTTCATTGAAAATGTATGGTGGGAAAGGGGCAAGCCTGAAGGTGCATGGTGAAACAAACTTCACTGACAATTTTTGGTGAATGAAGGAACATGCTCTATTGAAAATTTCTGGTGCAAAATTTGCATCGCTCTGATTAATGAAATGAACAGAAAATTTCTGGTGGAAAACTTGCACTAGTCTGGTAAATGATGGCACAAGCTTTATTTAAAATTAAGCTTAATTGAAAATTTCTGGCGGAAAATCTGCACCGTTCTGGTGAACGGATGGGCAAGCTTTCCAGATTTTTTTTCGTTTTTAAATTTACATTCTTCTGCTGAATAGAGAAACAAATTTAAATAATAATTTCTAGTGCAACATATGCACCATTCTGATAATTGGAGGGAAGCTGCTTTACTGAAAATTTAGGTAAAAAAATCCGAAAATAGGGGCAAACTTTATTTGGTGGAAAACCTGCAACATTCTGATGATAGGAGAAGCCAGCTAGGGGAAATGCAGGTAATGTCGGCCTAAGTGTTCCTAATTTGGGCCCATACATAAATTCAGCAATCGAATAAATTTTCAATAGTAACCAAAAATATCCATTAGTAACGTCCCAATAACGCGTTCATCTAGATAAAATTGATAAATAGCAGATTTTTAGCGATGGGCCCAATCTTAGATCCATAGGCCAACATTAGAGACATTTCCCCTATATTGAAAATGTTTGGTGGAAAACGGAAAAAGGAAATCTGCACCAATCAGAAGATTGGAGAAGCAATTTTTATTGAACATTGAACATGAACAAAGAGCCACAAGGGTATTGAATTCGGAGGACAGTTAAAAAAAAAAGATTTCTGAGGATAATTTAATGAAAATTCTGCGAATAATTTCTAGTGAATCCTGCAGATAGTTGCAAGATAATTTCGAAAAGAATACCGAGAGAATCAATTTTTTAATGAAATTCCAAAGGGATGTTGAGGAAAATTTCAAGAGAATTCCGAGGATAATTTTAAGTTCATTCTGGGAAGAATTTCTGGAGAATACAGAGGAAATTCTTCTGAAAGTTTAGGAGAATTTCAGTTCCAAGGTGTTCTGAGATTTTTTTTTAAATGTTCAGAGAAGAACCTCAGGGATATTGAATTCTTAGGACAGTTCCAAAATATTTCTGGGAAGAAATCAATGAAAATTCTACGGATAATTTCTAGTGCATCCTGCAGATAGTTCTAAGATAATTTCGAAAAGAATACCGAGAAAATAAAATTTCGAGTGAAATTCCAAAGAGATTTTAAGCAAAATTTCAAGCGAATTCCGAGGATAATTTCTAGTTCATTCCGGGAAAAAAAATTCTGAAACTCTAAAAGAAATTGAGTTCTAAAGTATTCTGAAAAAAAAAATCATGAAGAGTTCTAAGCGTAATTCCAGTGGACTTCTGTGGAGAATTTCAAAAGAGCTCATAGAGTTCTAAAAATTTCGAAAAGAACCTCAAGGAATTCTGAGGATAAACTTTTTTGCACCTGTACAAAGATTAAAGACAGCGTTTGGATTCCTTTATTGAAAAGTGGGTATTAGTTTGCCATTGAGCCTTGGTCTATTTTTGTCTTACTAAGAATAAGTCTATTACAGCTGTTTATGTGCATGTGCATTATTGCAATAAATTCGGGATTGTCCTTTATAAAATCTTTAAAACATGTTGAATGTTCGGCATCATTTCCTGTCACCCCAACTGGTGGTACTTTGGGACAGGGTTGACATGCTCAATCCTTCGCAAAATTCGTCATTCCGTTGACAATCGTTCCAATCGTTACATATTGTTTGAACCTTTTTAATGAACCTATTAGCCTTGGCATCTAGGTCAAAATTTGAAAAAAATTTAGAATTACTATTTTTGCTGATGACCAAGTTCAACGTACTCGCAACGGTAATAGTAAAGTGTAACTACAACAGCATATAATACTCCGTACAGACTATGGCTTGCATCATGTAATAACCTTGCAATGAGCACTCATACATAGGGTTTCCAGTGAAAACTATATGTATGAGTGCTCATTGCAAGACATGTATGAGTTGGCGATTATCATCAGGTATATTGATAATGATCGGCCGACGGAAACATTCGTGGGTGTGAGACGGGTGTTGAAAACAGACGCGACGACCATCTTCAATACCAAAGCACGAGGACGACAGCGATGCAGATTTCTTGGGAGCAGGTGATGGCAGTATATTTTGACGGTGCCAGCCCAATGGCTGTCAGCACTGCTGGAGTACAAGCCAAGTGCAAGGACGAAAACAGCAATATACTTTTATGAAGAGCTTTGAGTTGGTTTATTTCCTTTTAATTCCGTTATAATTGCTTAACTTTTGACAGATACGCGTATTTCGTCTACTACTTGCAGACTTCATCAGTGCCAAGTACTCAACACCACTGATCAAGGTTGGATTGATCAAGAGCAATATACTGTTTGTTCACTGCTATGCGCACTGTTTGAACCATGTACTTGTCGACGCATTGTGCATACGAAAGAAGAATGCGATTCTTATTGGTCACTATCATTGGTGCTATCACCACCATCTGAAGTGACTTCATCTGAACCCAACCACCAAGGGAAAAACATTGCAGCAAATGTATCATTTCGGTTAAAGCCCTACTATTGCAACCATTAGCCATCATTGACATAGTCGATGGGATTAAATTGCCAATTCCTTTGGCTGTCTGAAAGCAGTTTCCATTGAAGAAGATGAACCACCACCGGAGTAAAAAATAAATAAAATTAGCTCAATTGAACAGTAGGGAAACAGTGGTGAGTGGACATCACCATCTCCCACGCACTTTGGAGTACTCCCCATCCCCAGATTAAATGCACCATAGAACAAACAATTGCCCCTCCTTCACAAGATTCCTGTGCACGCTATTGCTGTTTAGCTTCATATCGTGCAGCTTTCGTTTCCTATCCGATTCGCACAACTCTGCTACCTTGGCCCTAGACAGAAACTCCTGGAATTTAATTGGATACTCTTTGGCCAATTTGAGGTGTAGAGAATAACATTCCAAAATCTTCATGCCCAGTTTGCTATAAAGTCGTCTGATGCTATCCTTGATGAACTCTGCTTCCATCCTTTTACTACGCTGGGTGGGATGGGTGTCCGTACCTTAATCATATGGCTTATAGGTATAACCTTATATTTTTGGCATTTCTTCAGAAATGCTACGCCCTTATGAAGCGATGGGATGATTTCTTCAATCCGATAAATTTATTTGGCTCCGACAACTTGGTTTCCATGATGAATCCTGATGCATGTGGGCGTCTTAGTGGAATACTTGTGTAAAGAGAGAGAGAGAGAGAGAGAGAGAAGGATTAGTAATTTCCATTTCCAGAGTTGGTTGGAAATGCTAACATGATATATTCAATGTGTTATGTATGTTTGTCTGTGCTAGAACTATTCCACAGCCGCAGTAAGTAATGAGCAAAAGGAGGACGCACTTTTTTTGCCTGTAGACTTGAAGACATACTTCAAGTCTCCGCGTACATCGTACGGGTTAGGCAAAATATGTGCGTTTGTCTTTATACTGTCGCATTAATGGCCCTTCGCTCATTTTCAACTTCTATTCAATTTTCATGCTGCCGTACTCTAACGGAACTATCCACCTACCCTCTTCTAAAGATCATTCTCTAGCTAATAAATTATCACACTAAAGCTTCATGTTAGCATTTCCAACCAAAACTGAAATTCGCTAACTTAGTGTATGAAGTAACATGAAATTTCCATTTAATTCCACTACCTTATTTGCTTATCATTGACATATAGTTACGCGTATTTCGTCTACAATGTGCACACTTCTTCAGTGTCTAGTACTAATACTCGACTGAAGAAAAACAACGCATTTTACCGAATATATATTAACACAGGTACATTTTCACTCAGAAGCTAGGTAATTAAATTAATGTGTCAACGTTGTTTCTGTATTACAGTACGTTCAGACTGTTATAACGGTTATCAAATAACTGCAACACAGAAACTACCATCAAGGTAGTGCTATAACATGTTATAACTCTGTAGTCTGAAAAGGGCATTATACTTGATTATAATAACACGTTACAACTCTGTAGTCTGTACGTTGTATAATTGTTTGAAATATCCATCTCGTATTATTTCACCATCTACCTTAATCCACCTCTGCATGCAAATCCCTTCTTCTCTTCAGCAAAGCCGGTACGCTAAGCTAACCTCTCGATCGCACCCACGATCTGCGCGTAAAAGCATATTACCGTTGCTATTGCTATTGCTATTTTACCGCAATGCTGTAGTGGCGGGAGAAAGAACCTTGGAAGAAGGATCTGACTTCGGAATCTCCCCGAAACTCAAGACACCTTTAGCACCGTTGCTGACTCATACGAGTCACCACCGAGAGAACTAAAAAAAAAAACACTGCTATCCGAAAAGTCGTACCACATCACAGAGCGCTCCGCCGTATTAGTATGTATGATGTATATAAAACCGAACGGCGTAAACTTTCGACAATTCATTTCACTTTCGCTCTCGTTGCAAGTCGGAGCATTTTTGTTTTGTTTCGCGTGTGCGCGCTTCAACGTGGTGTATCTCGTTTCACAGCCTAAGGTAAGTTCTTCGAATAGTCAACTGCCCAACGGCTGGACCAGCCGCCAGCCTACCAACCAACCAGCACTAAAAGGAGATTGTGAAATAGTGTCAACGCAAAACAGTCTGGGATTACATGAGCCGCTAAAGTATGACATAAGTAACGTGATTCTGCTGGCGAAGTGTGATGCCCCAAAATAAGATCAATGCAGTTATTCAATATCATCGGTGAACACGACAGAAGAACAGAGTGATAGTGTGTGAGAGAGGCAGTGAAAAAGATAGCAGGCCATGATGCTGGGGCAAAGTTCATAATTTGTTTTCCATGAAGCATGAGACTTATGTGAGCGACAAGAGTGCTTGGAAGTGTCAGATGCAGACTTTTTTTTTGCAGCCTCTGCTTGCGATTTTGAGTAGTACAGAGTCGGATATATCCAATATAACATGCGTCAGCCATGAATAAGGGCAGATTCCGGAAAAAAGCAATTTTCGGATGTTCCTTCTAGTATCAGGTGGGATGGGTGCGGGTGAAGGCATTGTTTGTGACGTGACCTTTTTTCCTATGGAAGATTGAGTTTTGCAACGAGCAAGAAAAAAAAAAGGCCAACAGTTGTTGCCCTCTATCGTCTTCCCACAATGAATTGGTGATGCGTGAAGATAACGAATGAACGAATTTTGCTTGCATTTTCAACTGAATAGGTTTGGAATTGTGGTTGTTGACTTGCCGGTTTTCGGAGAAATGTTGACCTTTTTGTGTGGCGATGAGCAGGGCATTGGGTTGAACTGGTGGATATTAGCATAATGTGTGATTGGTATTGTACGAGATGGGACAAAAGGGCCGAACCTTTTTCAGATGAATGCCAAGTTTATTAATTTAATTTTTTTTCTGTGTCAAGTTGTTGCATTTTATTTAAATTTATGATGAATAGCTTCTGATACTGAAATGTTCTTAACATTAAAATGTATAATAATTATTGATAGGGAAAATAGCATTAATATAGTGTTGTTACATATCACAGCAGCCTAGTCTTAAAATAGCATTAAACTTTTGTGAATTTCTCTAACGATTTCTCTGAGGGTTTTCTGGAGTTTTCTGAAGTTATGTTCAACAACTCTGTCTTTCTGATGAACCTCTAAATTTATATTAAAGTTACTATAGTTTTTCTGAGGCTACCTAGGATACCTTTAAATTGCCTACGGTTACTTGAAGTGTGTTGAGCTTCCTGATGTTTCATGAAGCTCTCTGGAGTACCGCGAATTTTAATAATGTTCTCCCGGGGTTTCCGAACCATTTGTTTTTTTTTATTCTTTTTGGATCTCCATACTACTCTAATATTCCCTAAATTTCTCGTTAGTTCGCTGAACTTCTCTTATGTTCGTTAGAACTTTTTTTATTTTTTAAAACCCTGAATCTTTCTGAGGTTCTCTTAGAATTCTTTGAGGCTTACCTAAATAGAATTTCTAAAGATTTACGATCGCCAAACTTCTCCTAAATCCAGATTTGTTCAAAGTTCTTTAGCACCCTGAATGTCTATTCAGTATTTATTTTAACTTCTTGTAAGCTTTCGTGGACTCATTTGAAGTTCTTCTTAAGATTTTGATTTTTTTATTGCAACATCTGCAAGATTATTAATTGGAAATGGTTCACCTTTTTCCCAAACATATGTTTTCTATTGTTAGTTTTAAATTTTCTTTTGCGACTGTTTAATATGTTGTTGCATTTTTTGCTGTTTCGCCGGCGAAACAAATATTATCTATTACAACTTTTTAATTTTCAATTGCTTCTTTCCATTAGTCTATTGCTCATTTTCAATAGTTTATTGCTCGGCCAGAGACAAACCTGCCAAAGGCTGAAAGTCACTTTAATAAATAAAACTGACTAACTAACTTGTGGTGTTGAGTACTTGGCACAGATAAAGTCTGCAAGTAGTAGACAAAATACGAGCATCTGTCAAAAGATAAGCAATTATAACGGAATTTAAAGGAAATAAACCAACCCACTCAAAGCTCTTCATAACTAACTCCGAAGCAAGCAGACTTATTGGTAATTTCGCATAAAGCTATGCGGTGCCCTTCATTTAGTGGGTCTTTATAAGGTAGTCATTGTGTGCCAAAAGGTTCTCTTACGCCATCTGGTGTGTAAATGCTAAACTTTTAAAATTACAATGCACGGCAAATGAGAGTAACCGAATCCTGATGAATGTGGGCGTCTTAGTGGAATACCTGTATAAAGAGAGAGAAGGATTAGTAATTTCAATTTAATTCCACTACCTTATTTACTTATCCTTGACATATACGCGTATTTCGTATACAATGTACAGACTTCTTCAGTGTCTTGTACTAATACTCGACTTATAAATGAGAGTAACTCAAAATTAAGTAGAATTCGACTCAAAATTACAAAAAAGTGGGGTTACTTAGGGGAGAAATTGAGTTTTTATCGATTTTCCATAAAATTCGGTTCGAATAAAAAGAAAATTAATCTAAATTTCATTCAGGATACGAGCATACTTCATTGACTGAATAACATTTCCGTCGATTTTTTTTTTAGGAAAATCGAGAAAAATTTAAATCATCTTCGAGTAACCCTACTTTTTGCAATTTTTAGTCGAATGAGACTTAATATTGAGTTCAGTGTTGGGAAAATATCAAAACATCAAATCTCATCTATGCCCAAGAGCGCGGTTGATTTTCGTAGGCATAATTCAACAAGCAAACAACTGCAGTTGACTAGTAAAACTCACCAGCTGCAAATCTCAAAAAGCTGTGGTGAGATTGAGTTTCATGATTTATGCTTTACACCCGAACGCAACCGAAACTTCCATAACGGCTGGCAGAGTCGCTTCGTGTCTGCCATCGGTGAAGAGTAAAAAGAGATAGCAAACTATACTTTCTCTTTCTAAGAAAACGATGTGCAACGGAATCATTTTTGTGTCTAGTCCACTCTCAGCTTGATGTTTGCACGTTGTGAATAGTCTCGCAATATCAAAGAAGCTTGTAAATTCAATATCACGCGTATGAGAGCGAAAAAAATTTATTTGATTGATGATTTTGTCAACACTGATTGAGTTATTCTCATCGGTCGCAGTGTCGAAGGCAGTAACCTGAGTCTCGATAATGGAAAGAGTAATTGATGTTGACACATTCTACAAAGACGAAGAGACACAAATCGTGAACTTAAAATATATTTTTACTTAAATCGTAGCGTGATACATTTGTTGCTATATTTCAATTTGGTCTCAGCACTCAGTATCTTTGGATTTGTATTTGGAATGAAAACCATTATAGCCTACCTAACTATTCATGATTTGTCTGTAGTTATCAGGTGTTTCTGAACCTTTCCAGAATGAACGATCTCTGCTCCAGTACCTGAAGATCAGCCAGGCGGTGGATCTTAGAATTAGGAGTGTGCTAAGGACTGTTTAGGACCATCCAAACGATCTTGTTTTGCATCCTTTGAAGCTTACTGGTGGAATTGATGGTAGCACTAAGGTGAAAGTTAATGCTTTTCCGTTGATACTGAATCCACACCCGTTCAAACTACACCTAAATTCGAAATACACCAATACCAACAAGCATTTGCAAATTAGAAAAATGAGAAGTATTGAAATTTTAAACATATTCGTAAACACAATATTATTGTAAACTTATAATAATTCTACTACTGGAATGACCACCTCCATTCCAAGATTCCAAGTTCAGGGTAGTTCTACTAATGCTCAGGGAAGTCTTACCGTAGTTCAGGGAAGGCCTGGCAAACTTCAGCGAAGCCCTGCCGAATGTCCTGCTGAAGTTCAGGAAAGTCCTTTCGAAGCTCAGGGAAGCCTTGCCGAAGTTCAGGGAAGTCCTGCTGAAGTTCAGAGAAGTTCTGTGGAAATTCAGAGAAGTTCTGTTGAAGTTCAGAGAAGTTCTGCTGATGTTCAGGAATGTTTTTCCGAACTATAGGGAAGTCCTACCAATGTTCAGGGAAGACCTGCCGAACTTCGGGAAAGTCCTGCCAAAATTCAGGGAAATCCTGCTGAAGTTCAGGGAACTCCTGCCGAAGTAATTTATTGGATTTTACGACTGGTACGTATGAAGATTTCTTTTATATGACTTTCTCAGTCTAGGGTCATCCAAACAGGGAAATTCAAAACTGACTGTTTGGATAACGCTAGATTGAAAAAGCCATATAAAAGAAATCTCCTGCCAAAGCTCAGAGAACTCTTGCCGAAGTTCAGGGAAGTTCTGCCGAAGTTCAGGGAAGTCTTGATGAAGTTCAGGGAATTCATACCGAAGTTCAGGGAAGGCCTGCCGAACCTCAGGGAAGTCCTGCCGTAGTTCAGGGAAGGCCTGTCAAAGTTCAGGGAACTCCTGCTGAAGTTCAGAGAAGTTCTGTCGAATTTCTGTCGAAGTTCTGTCGAAGTTCAGGGAAGTTCTGCCGAAGTTCATGGAATTATCTAAGCACAAGACTAAAGATTTGCTTACCGTACTAACAACGGTTGTTTGTAGACAGCTAGCTCGGTTTTTGTTGATAAACGGGTACAGTGATCTCATCAAGATGTTGCATTTGATGATAGTTTTGTGCATCTGCTCCCTGAAAATCAGTTTTCTGTTAAATAGTAGTACGAGGTAGGCTAGCTCTGTGAGCCATTCCACCACCAGACCGTTTACGCGGATTTTGTTATTCACAGTCGGAGCAAGTCTAATGGCGGTAAGCTGCAACTCGGATTAACTTTTAATCCCGTTCCTGTTTGGATGATCTGCAAAGAGTTAGCTTAGAATCGTGTCGATTAGCTCTAATGTCGACATCAAAGCAGCCGGACAGTCTTGATCGGGATTTAATCGGGGATGTTCACCACGTTGATATGGATCTTCCAGTTTAAGCCTCTCTGAAGTTCAATCTGGGAGAGCCGGAATATCGGAGGTGAACGGATTGAACAGGATAGGCCCAAGGATACTTCCTTGAGGTAGACCAGCACTGACGTTGAAGGTATCTGATGTGATGCCATTCAGAGAGACCTGGAACGTCCTGTCCGAGG